GCGCCTGGGGTTCCGAACCTGGGTGGCCAGCAGCGGAGCGCGCGCGCACTTCACTGTTACTCCACAGGGCCGGCCCAAGATTCCTTTTTATATACACAGAGATAAAGCCTTGAGAATCTTCTGATTCTGTCACGAATAACTTTTGGAGCTACTTTAAGTCATGCTAAATATTTTATTTATACCATCTCAGAAGATTTGAGCCTTAACACATCCAAATATTTGGACTCATAAGGAAATGGACAACATTGCTTCCTCTGGCTGGCCTTTTGAGCTGGCCTAACCCAAAGCACCCCTACCTCAAACTCAAATCCAATGTGGTCAATGGGGATGGTGTATTTCCGGGCATAATTCTGAGAGACACCAGTCAAAAAAGACTGTGTGAAGTAGAATCCAGAGATCCAAAAGACGACAGGAGGCCCATTGTCAATCCAATCCTGGATAGCCACAGAAATAAAAATTCAAAATCAACAACACATCAAAGATAGTTCAAAGGCAGGTAATGTAAATAAGTCCCATTAAGAAATATGCTTTTTCTCAGTTTTCTTAAAACAGGCAGCCAGCCCTCTTGGTTTAGCTTATATTCTCCAACTTTTAAAATGAAGGTATGAAGAAATATATTTCTACTTTAAGAAAAGCGCAGGTGCAAGCTGATATCAGGGATACAACAGAGTGGTGGAGACTATAGTGGTGGAAAATACGTGCCTTGTCTAAACTGAGCAACAGCCACTCATCTCAAGCAATTGCCATGCAGGAATGCAGGCCCATTGTTTCAAGTCTCCCCTTTTTTGCAGGAGAAAGATCTGGATTTTTATGTGTAATAATCCAATGTTTACATGCTAGCTCAAAAATTTTAAAATTACCAGGCAGCCAAACCAAACATATCTATTAGCCAAATCTGGCCCATAAGCCACCAGTTTGTGACATTTATTCTAGTTCCTACTCCTGCCTTCATAAGCTATAATCTTTTCAAGGACTGTGAAAAGTGTGCAGGAAGACTGTTTCCAGTAGGTACTCTATCCGGGATGCTGCATGGCTGCCTGCTGTACTCCTTCTGCCTCTCATCTGTCATTTCAGAATGCCCTCTCCATCTCAATAAGCATGCTAGGTACCCAGTTACCCTGACTCCCAGGTACCTGGAAGAAGGCCAGACGGGCCAACAGGTCAGCCACGTAGCCCCCCAGGGGTTTCAGCGATGGGTAGGACTTGGCCATCCACATGGCTGGCACTTTACCCACAAGCATGCTACTGAAGACATCCTCCAGCTCTGAGGACATCAGGACCTGCCCTTTGATGGCTCGGCCAAGATCAATGAGGCTTCTGCGAACCACTTTGGTCAGCCTGCAAGAACAAAGAAGCCAGCTTAGCCTGGCTCTCCAGTGGCCTCCTTCTACCCAAGTTCACTGACTCCAGGTCTCCTTCTACTTTTCCCCCTTTAAAAGCCCAGACAATTAATATACATTCATGGTAGAAAAATTACAGAGATGAGAAAAAATTAAATCACTCTATCTCACCGCCTAAAGATAACTTTGATGTATATCTTTTCAGATTTTTCTATATGTAAATGCAAATTATTTTTTAATGGGATTATACTATATATTTTTTTGTAATCTGTTTTTCTCTCTTAACATATGGGGAACATTCTTCCAATTCAGTAGAGATCTAAATTGTCCTTTTTAATGACTGCAAGGTGTTCTGTTTTATTTAACTATTCCTTTATTGCTGATACGTATTATTTCTAGATTGTTGTCACTGTAAACAACATTGCTAGGAACATCCATCCATATCAATCTTTGTGGAAATTTATAATAATTTTCTTATTAAAAGTATAATTTCTGGGTCAAAGGGTAATGCAGTTTTTAGGTTTTTGATCCAGATTGCCAAAGTTGTTCTTTTTATACACTACGATAAAGTGCATACCTGAGAAAAGGCAGCTGAAGGACACCCTGGGAGATGCCAAGATTGCCTGCCTCTTTCTAGCCTCTGTTATGAGGCCTAGCCAAGCTCAGATGGAATTCACCTCAGAGTGCCACAGAATCTGCCACCAGAGAGAGCCTGTCATCTCCAAAGACTTATGGAATCCCAGCCAAATGGACACAAGACTGATCAAACGCAAGAAAGAGATTCCTGGATGTGTAACCAGTAAACATTCATAGTAAGAGGAATTTAAGGTTCAAACATTGCTGAGGAGTCAAGGGGCAAAGCTACCATCTGAGGGATGATACCACAGACCTCTAACTATCACACCTAGAGACCTACTTGCAAAAGTTTTCTTTCTTTTCTTGCAACTATGAGCTCTGCTAGTTTCAACACTTTCAGCACCCAATGAAGGAACATTTGCCCCAGAAGACAAAATAATGTTTCCCCTGAACTAGAAGCAGAACCGTCACCTAATCATTTTGGACTTCTCATACCACTGGGTGAACAGACAAAAAAAAAGGTAGTGGGAAGGAATGTTAGAGTATTGCCAAAGATGATTAATCCTGACCACCTTTGAAAAATAAGATCGCTGTTACCCTGTTCTCTTGTACTACAATGGCCAGTAAAGCTAGTGAAGTCCCCTGCAATGACCCAGGAAGAGCTCCAGTGACCTTAGGGGAGAATGAGTAACAGAGTAGAGATGCCATTAGGTCTGGTGACTGGATGAACAAGAACTACATCCCATCATGCCCAGGTATCTGACTCACAGCAGTGAGTGCCACATCTTAGGCTCAAACCCCATACTTTGCCTGGTCCCCCAGATGGCCAACTGCCTATCAACTCTAGAGAGTAACCCTAAGACTGAGGAAGGCAAGAAATTCTTAGATGACATTCTTCCAGTTCCCTAGTCCTTCAGAGTCAGGGCTGGCTCTAAAACTGAGCAATGACCAATGAGGCAAAATAGAGACATGGAGAATCCGGAGCAGCAAGAGCCTTGGACTTAGAGGCAGAAGTGATGAGTTTCCTTATCTGGCTTAAATGGCCTTTGGGAACTCTTTCAATTTTGACTATTTAGAAGTGAAATCAAGGTGATCCCACTGGGCTCTGTGCTGTAGTAACTGGAGGAGAAGTGAAGAGAGACTAGAATAGAAGGCCACAGACCCTTAGTCCCATGGCCAGCCCATAACAGCTCTTGTCTACCTCTGTGGTAGAAGCAATGGGATTAACTTCTCTCCACCCCTTTCCATGTTTACCCTGATTTCATGTATTGGCTAAGTGCATGGGCCCTGGAATCAGACAGCCTGGGTTCAAACTCAGTTCTGCCACTGAATGACTGTGTGACCTTGCGAGAGTTACTTACTCCTTCTGGGTCTGTTTCCTCATCTGTAAAATGGTAGTAGAGGGATTACTAACTGTGCATATTTCAAAAGGCTATTGTGTGGTTTGAATGCAAACATATGTACAGTGCTTCAAGCCATATCTGGCACCAAGGAAGGGCTCAATAAAAGTGGCTCTAATGATTACTTTTACTGTTAGCCTGTGCTTGGTATTGGTTTATTGGTTGTTACCTGACTTGACAGATGTCATGTGAATGAATGGTAAAGAATGAATAGAAGGAATGATTTAACCCTGGGCCAACACGTGCTGGGATGGCCCTATTTATAGCCCTCCCTATGGGTAGGGCAGAGGAGTGTAACAACCCCTTATTAAGCATCCATCTCAGTTACTGCCCATTAGATCCAACCCCTCACACTCCAACTTCCAGGATCCAAGTAAGACGATCAGCCCACCTGTTGAATCTGATGAGCTCCTGCCTTAGGACAGTATTCATGGATTCCTCATAGACCACAGGGTACAACTTCATGACCACTTCCAAGTCAAAGTCGTTGGGAAGCTTGGAGAGTATGTCCTGGGCCAGATCCTCAACCACTTCCTTAAAGAACAAGCAGGAGAGAGGTGAATGAGAAACAAGGCCTGTGGGTTGTGGCTTTGTCTGGGTAAACTTGAAGCAGTGAGCATCTTTCTTTTTCAACACAGTCTGTTGGACCTTCCTGGGAACTCTCCTACAGAAGCCAATTTTGCCTTGGGGAGAAGGAGGACTCCCATCCCCCCACCAGCCTTGGGAAGGACATCATCCCTTGGCCCAGAAAGTAAATAGCTGAGCAATGAGAGTGCTGTTCTTACACCTGGAACAAGGGCCCGAGGGCCAGGCAGGGAATTCCTGCTCAGCCAGGTAGCCTGAGGGCAGCGCTGAACCCTGCAAAACTCCTCCTGTCTTCAAGGTTGCCCCTGGGAAAGAATCTCCCAAGGCTCTCACAGCCGACCCCCTAGGACCAGCTCCTGGTGCACATGGGAGTCTTGCTCAGTGCCAGCTACATGGACACCTGGGAAGGCAGCAGGCCATTCCTCAGCATTGAGCAAGAACAGCCCAAGGCAGTGCGCTTAGCCAAGTAGGGAGGGAACAGGCCTAGAGGAACAAGGAGTAGTAGGACCTGGGTGTGGGAGACGGGGACAGCTCTGCTATCCTGTGGCTCTGGGGGGCTGGAACATATACTTTTTTCCCTCTTCCCTCTGTGAGGGGAATTTCCACCCCTAAATTGAGACACACCAAGCAGGCTGCTTTATCTTCACACCATTAGCACTTATGGCACTAAGAACTAAATCAAGAAACCAAATATGCAAAGTCCATAGCTGAGAGAGGTCAAACATGGGGTAGCTCAGAAGGTGGAGAAAGGAAGGATGGGAGAGAACAGGGTGTGGTGGAGTCAGGAGATGGAGTCTGGGTCTGGCTCTGCCTCTGAGTTTATGACTGCCTTGAAGCGGGTCACTTCCTCTGCAGGATTCCTTTTGCCTTCCTCTGTAGATTGAGGAGGGTGGACTGGGTCAGTGCTTCACAAAGCGTGGACTGACCACAAGAGGCACCCAGAGTGATTCCAGGTGTTTCCAGGACATGAAGCAAATAATGTTGAATCACATGGTGAGAAGGTCACTCTCTTTTCAAATTTCAGCTGCCTTTCTCTTTTCATTCCTCTCAAGGAGAAAGTCTCAGGTCAGTCAGTGCTAATTAAACACTCTGTAACATTTGCTGATCTTCCCCCTTTTCACAAGAAGCTAGCAAGTCCTCGGCAACATCATCTGGGAAGAACCTAGTAACCGTTTCGCTTTCATTTTCTTTTTGTGGCTGTCTTGACTTTATGGAAATGATACTGGGTTTCCATTTATGGTACTAATGTGCAGATTTTTAAATAAATGATTTTAAGCAAAATGTAGTTAGTTTTTAAATATTATATAAACGGAGTATAGATGATATGTGGGCATAGCAACAAATCATGAAGGTTATACAGGAATAGCTGACGTTCTGGAGACACTGCTCTCTTCCAGCTCAGTAGTCAAGGACTCTCAGCAGTAAGACCAGAGCATCCATGCCCTCCCTCAGGGGTCTGCCAGGCCTCCACTTTTCTGTCTTCTTGGTCATCACTCACAATCCTGCGTGCCCACTAAATGGAAAACTGCCTGGGAAACTGAATTCAAGCCCAGTTACCTGAGGGGACTTGCCACTCCCTCTCGACTGTCTAGGGAGGGTCAGCAGCACCCCTTGAAACAGCTGGTTGGTTTCCTGGTTGTCCTTGGTGATGTCAGCATTCTCATGGAGGCCAAACACTTCTGGGTGGGCGGTGATGGGGAGGTTCCTGAGATACTCGATATAGGACTGTAAAGGAAATCTTGAGCTGACACAAACGCAGGTTCCCTGGGGTGCCGCAGATCACTCAGGGCTTGGCGGACCAGACCCAAGCAGGAATCACACTATTTCTGTAGTACAGGCCAGCACCCCCAACCCCTACACTGGGTAAACACATCCCAAACTCCTTCTCATACAGTTTTCTGGGGAATAAGTATGAAGGCAGATGGGCTGAGCATCTCCCCTCCAGCCCCTGGCTTCCTCCCTGCTACCCCAGTAGTCCTGGCTTTCAAGTCAGACAGAACTGGGTTTGGATCCAGACAGAACTGGGTTTGGATCCTAGCTCCATTGCAAACTAACTGTGTAACCTTGAGCTAGTCACCTGAAACCCTGTTTTCCTTATCTGCAAATGGGAAGATAAGTGAGGTTATAAAGGAATAATGCCTTGGCATAGAACAGGTGCTCAACAAAAGTAAGCCTCTTTTCATCTTTCCTCCAGATTTCTTGTTTTCTTCTTCACTTTCTCATTCTCCCATCCAGTTTTTTGGTCCCTCCTCTTCTGCCACCTACTGAACCTTTGTTTCCAAGTAGCAAATTCCAGCCCGTTCACTACCAAGGCTTCACCTTAACTTCCCTCTTTCCCCCATAGATAAACCCCATATTTTGAAAGACCTTGTCTACCAAATACCCAGTGTTCATTATACAGTAATAATGTCGCTCTTGTAGGCTTTTTGGAATATTGGTGATAGCTTATGGCCCAAGTCAGGAAGCTGAAGGCTACCCCTGGGCCCTCCTTAGCTACACTGCAGCCCCTAGCCACGTGGAAGCTGCTGAGCTCCTCGGGTGGACAGAGGGACCTTTCCCTCCCCCTCTCCTCACCTGATAGGAGCCATGGGGAGGGATGTAGTAAGTGTCTCCAGGAGCAAGACAGTAATGGTCCTGCTCGATTTCCCTACAGTAGAATGTGGACAGAAGGGACAGCAGGAGACGCCTGTCTTTGTCATCAGTCACTCTGCCTCCGTAATTACATTCCCCTGGGACAAGCAGCAGAGGAAGAAGTTGAGCCCAGGGAAGGTCATAATGAACTTGGTCATTAACCTAAAACAGAGGATTCTTCCAGCCAAGGAGCTCTACTGAGACACAGGGTTGCTGAAACTATGCTCAGCTTGGGATGGGACCAGGCCCTTTTAGTATTGTGGTTGCTACATAAATAATACATGTTCACCATATTAGAAATTAGAAAATAGAAATAAACCGAAAGAAAAGCAATATAATCACCAATAGTTCCACCAAAGGTAACTATTAACATTTAGGCATGTTCTAGACATTTGCGTGCGTGTGTGTGTGTGTATACACATATATGTGAAAGGCATTACAGAAATGTGGATCAGGGGAAGAACTTTGACATGAGACAGACCTGGGTTCCAATTCCAGCCCTGCCACTTTCCAGCCCATCTCTAGGTTCTAATTCCTGCTATTTAATAGCAGTTTCTCATCTGTCAAGAAGTAGAGACAACTGCAGTACCCATCTTACAAGGCTGTGGCTCATAATGCTTATAAAGCATTTAGCATAAAGCTTAGCACATAGAAAGCACTCAATTAATTATAGCTACTACAAATACATACATTTGAGAAAATTGAGATTGTCCTATATGTACTGCTTTGGGATATGACTCCCCGCACTCCTACCCCCATCGTTGACGTCAGTCACTGAGACTCAGTTCTATAAAAAGAATTAGGTAATTCTTTGGATGGGACATCAAATCCATTTGACCAACCCCATGACACATTTTCTAGCGGGTCCAGATTCCAAAGTACGTGGGTGCCACCTGGCATTTTGTAGTTGAGAACAACACACTAGTCTGCAAGGAGGAGACACATCTATGTGAGTGTGTGTGCGTGTGTGTGTGTATGCATGCACGCAAGGGTTCTCCTGATAGCTAGGCTCATTTCTAATTCCAACCATTCTAGGAAGTGGCAGGTCCATAGACAAGAAGCAGGAAGTGTGACCCCAGTTGGGGGTGGGAGACATCAGCTTTTCTTGGTCTTGAAGGGGTCTAAACATCTAGGAGGAAGATCGGGGTGTCTTGTTAAGGGAGAATTAAGGAACTAAGGGGAATCTCATACCTATTGAGTAATTTGAGCCCTACAGAAGCTGTTTTACCTTAAGCTAGACCATCTAGATTTCTGAAGCTCTCTCTGTTGACTTCTCAGGCCTTTAGCAAAGTTGAGTTTGAACATTACAGCTTGTCCCAGCTATAAAGAGATTTATATACCACTAGAACTTCAATACTAAAGGGAGAGTGGTTTCCCCCACTGAAGTCAGCATGACAGTGCTAGAAGGCACCCAAGAGGAACCCCAAGTGAAGGTAAATCTTAGGTACAGGGTCAGGGTGCAAGGTCCTGCCACCACTCTCTCATCAGCAAACTTTCCTTCAGGGGATACCCTTGCAGGCTCTGGGTTTTAGTTTTATGAAGGAAAGTACATTTCTTTATAGCTACTTGTATGTCCACTCTTTGAGGCAAGAACACAAATTCCAATAGGGGCCAGGATGTGCCTTATATCTCTTCTAAATTCTTGCTGTCCCTGCCATAGGGCTGGAGGTACAGGATTAAGAACATACTGACTTTGCCTATCTAATTTGATAACCGCTCTCCAAAGGAGACCTGTCTCTTGGTTAGTGTTAGTAGAGAGTTCTAATGATCACCAATATCTGGTTCTTCTTTCCTTCCAGGCACATAGGAAGGTTACACTTCCTCGGGCGCCTTGCAGTGGGGTGGGGCCAGGTGACAAGTTCTTGTGCATTTAATTCGTGGCATAAGCCCTTCAGTACTATCCCTGGGCCAGTGACCATACAAGTATATGTTGAGATGGTGGCCTCAAAAGTTGGTGGAGTCGTTGCCAACTGTGCCCCTGATAGATAATTACAATGAGCAGAGACCCCTGCTGATTCACACTGGAAATGTACAGTGGGCAAGAAATAGACCTTTGATGTCTTATACTCTTGAGGTTTGTTTATTGTTTGGGGATTGTTTATTACCTCCGCTTAACTGGTCTATCCTGACTGGTATAGTTGGAAAGTGACTATCCTCAAGCTGGCTGGCATAGTTGGGGCAGGTTAATTTATGAGCTGCAGGCAGTCCAGTAAGAAGACCATGTCCCAGGGCAATTATGTACCCATTCTGTGGTTGGTCTAAAGAGGGGCCCAGGGATGTGCTTTTGTGTGGCCTGGAATGATGGGAATATGGCTCGCTCCTTTTGGAGAAGTTCTTTCAACAAACTAACATCCACTGAACTTATGTTGTGAATGTCACTTGGGGTTTTGTGTTAGGGGACACTGTGCTAAGTTAAGGTCTGTGTGACCTTCTACAGCTGAACTTGATCACTCTAAAGCAGGCTTTCTCAACTTGGGTACTGTTAACATGTTGGACTGGATAGTTCCGTGGTGTGGGACTGTCCTGTGCATTATAGGCTGTTTAGCAGCATCCATGGCCTTGACCCAGTAGCATCTCCCTTTAGTTGTGACAACGAAAAGTCTCTAGGCACTGCCAAATGTCCCCTGGGGGGCAAAATCACCAGTTGAGAACCACTGCTCTAAAGCCTCATTCTTGGCTGTAAAATGGGGTCACTAACATGGAACTCATACGATGGCTGTGAAGACTCAATGCACTGATTGTGTATATAAAGGACCTGCTGCATGACTGGGGAAAGGATCCAGACAAACTCCTTAATATATGGAGCTGAGGAAGGAACTTGTGTGTGATCTTGAAGATGCCTGGGTTTTTCTATTGAGCTGCATTTTGACCTTTGGCCATGGCATTCCATTCAATAGCCCATTTATTTTTTATCTCCTGTCTCTGGGATTACATGGTACGCTCCTTGAGGGCAGTGACCAAGTTTTATACATTTACATTCTTCCATAATATGTACTAGTATATATTAGGTGACTAACAAAAGGTTGCTGATTGGATTGCTTTAATACAAAACAGCAAGTGCTGCTTTCACCTCAGGGTACCTCTGCCGGGAATGCTCTCCTCCCCTCCCACTGCCTACCCCCTTTTTTTCTCCCCTTGTAAAACTCCTACTGGTCCCTTAAAACCCATTGTTTATGACTTCAGGAGGTTTTCCATAATCATCCCCCACCCCATCCCTGAGATACAGTCATCGTGCTGCCTTTCTACTTTATAAATGTTTCTCTTGTTAAACTTATCACCGTATTGTCTTTTTTAAAAAATATTTTTCTTCCTATGAACCACTTGAGTGTAGGGATTGTATCTTAATTTTGTTTGTTTTTTTGTTTTTTTTTTAACAATATCCAGCATGGTAACCAGCATTAATAAGAGCTCAATGTTTGTTGAAAGAATGAATGAAGGAGTAAATAAATGAATAGAGACGGGAGCAGAGGAACAGGAGGGTGGAGCATGATACTAGAGGTTCACGCCTGCAAAGCCTCCTCCCATAAATACCTGTTAGGTAGGTCAGAGCATCAAACGGCACCTCCTTGTAGTCATTCAGAAACATCTGGATCTGCCGCATACTAATCCTCAGGTCAGATTCATTGAATTCGTAGGGAATATTCCAACCTGCATGAGGCAGAGAAGAATTAGAGGCTTTAGTGCCGAGAGCTCTCAATTTCCACTCAGATATTGAATCAGTGGAGTTAAGCATCACTATGGATCAAGAGCCTCATTCAGCCCCATGAATATCAAGCGCCAGGCCAATTATTAGCCTTGACATTTACTGCCAACATGGGAGCCACTCTGCCTGAGAAAGCATCTATTCTAAAATCAATTTCCTTAAAGATCTCCCCATTTGTTAAGGAAGATGTTAACATCCCAGATTGGTGGAATGAGAATTATTCACCCTGGCTGGAATACTGTGGTAATGCGCAGACCTCCAAAAATAACACTAAAGCAAAGCTAGAGAGCAGTATCTGTGATGGGGCAACAGAACTGTCAGCTTTGAGAATTTCCCTCCTCGCACTCGTGGGAGAACTGGACTGCCAGCCTTAAAGAAACTACCGCTTGTATTTTCAAGTGTATAACGATAAATGCCCAGTGGGGCTGGACAAGTGACACAAATGTGTGAACCAGGCCTGATGTAAGACAGCAGGGTATAGTGGGACCTGTGCTCACTGGAGATGCTCAATTTCCTCCTAAACATTCACATTCAAATTAAAAATATAACAAAATAACAAAATTTGTGTTCTGGCAAACAAAACACAACTGGGAAATTGGTTGCAAGCCAAACTGTTACATGGATTTCTGGAGGTCTGGCATAGGTGGGCGAATGTGGTGTGTGAAATGCAGAGAGAGGGTCCCCCTTGGCTGTCTCGTCCCTGCACCCCTCAGTGGAAGGGTCAGGAGCTCTGTGCAGGTAGAAGAAAAGAAAGAGGATGTTCAGAAAGCATCACCAAGAGGACAATTTGCCTCCTTATCTAACTCTAACGAATGGCTGAGAATAGCCTGAGATGGGTCATTTCAAGGCTATTGAACAGAATCAGAGGCAGCCCATGGGTGAGAGAAATGTAATCCAACTTTAAAATCATGATATGGGATGTGCACTGAGTAGTTTGATGATCTGCTCCAACAACAGTACTGGGTTACTCAAGTTAGGCCATGGATAGGTTACATTAATAAAAAAATTTATCTTTATTTTTTCACGAAGAAGCACGCACGAATGTCCCAGCTATACTTGTTCCATTGTTATGCAGATGTAAAGAGAGCTACCTAAATGTTAAAAATTACCTGGTGACAACTCTCTGGAGAATGGCCATTGTGCCTAAGATAGGCAAATACACACCAAAGGGAAGGGCCCCCAATCCTCTCCTTATCACATTACTTCAGTAATTAGGGCACCTCTGATTTTGGAGCATCACCTCTTTCCCAGACATTGACATTGACCTGGTGATCGGGTTGCCAGATTTATCAAACAGAAATACAGGACACTCAGTGAAATTTAATTTCAGATAAACAACAAAACATTTTTAGCAGAAGTATGTCCCAAATATTGCATGGAACATACTTATACCATATTTTACTGGCAACCCTATCTGAGTACAAACTTGAACACACACTAGCATCTGTCTGTCATCTTTCCCCCCAGCAACCCAGGTGCGCTGTCATCTCTTACCCAGGGGTCCAAAGTTTCTCCTCTCTTGAACGATGGCATGGAAGAAGCAAAGGCCGAACAACAGCTTCTGCCACATCACTGCCTTTGTACAACTTTGGAAGAACACGGGGTCCGAGATAGGGTCATTGAGGTAGGAGCGCAAAAGGTTGGCCCGGAGCCCTTTGGGGGGCTCGTTGGTCATCTTGATCCCATTCTGGAGGATGCTGACTGGAAACTTCTCTGACGGATAGCTGGTTAACCAGAGTCTGGAAGAACAACAGCCCCAACTATTTAGAACAATGCAGTAAGTTATATTGAAAAACAATAACAAAAAAATAATAGCTACCATTTATTAAGCATGACTAGATGCCAAACTCCATGCTACGAATTTAATATACATCCCTTCATTTATTTTAATCCTCACAGCCACCCTATGCGGAAGGATTTACTATCCCCTTTACCACTGAGGAAACAGAGGCATGGAGAGGTCAAGTGGGGTTTTCAAGGACATACCACTTAGAAGCAACTGAAATAAGATGTGAACTCCAGGCTCCCTGACTCCAAAGGCCCTGTCTTAATCACCACACCACACTCCTCCCCTGCTGGACTTTCTGACCATCTATCATGGTCAAGTACTATATCCAGCACCCCAGGAGTGGCCGAAGTGAGCAAAGCATTGTTTCTAGCTTCCAAATACCCAGAGCCTTGCTGCTAGGGGAAGAAATGGGGGTCAGGCAGGGAATAAAAGACAAACAAACAGAATGCTACAGTACAAGGCATTATAAAATCAAGACTGCAGGGAAGGAGGGAAATAATAAGCTGTGGGGGGTTCCATGGGAAGAAGAGGGTTTCGATGGGTTGGACTGAGCAGAAGTCTGCAAATTATGGCCAGGGAGCTGAATCCAGACATTAACATGTTGGCATATTGTCTTCCAGGCTTTCATTCATTTGTTTTTCCTACCTGAGCTCAAGTTACATACATTCCATGGCATCCTGCTTTGTATCATTTTTGTGGTTTTCTTTTTTTTTTTGCTTGACATTAGAGAGGTTTCCAACAGGTGGATTTAGGGATGGAAGATCATTAAAGACAAGGGACACAGGCTGAGCAACCGCATGGAGGACGGCAAGTCGGGGATGCGGTAAGGCTTGGTGGGCAGTCTGCTGTGGTGCAGCAGGGCTAAGGCGGGAGGGAAGAGGCCATAAACCGGTGGCCTGAGGCCTGACTTCAGTCTGCAGATGCTTAGCTCACACCATGCAAACCACAATGCTGTAACATATTTTTGAAATAGTTCCCAACTTTTAAAAATCTAGGGCTTTCTTTTTTTTTTTTTATTGATGTTTTAGTAGTTTATAACATTGTGAAATTTTGGGTTGTACATTTTTGTTTGTCCATCACCATATATATGTCTCCCTTCACCCCTTG